ATTTCCACACACTTCTCCTTAACATAAAAGGTCTTATTTCCAACAAAGTGGTATCAGAGCTTCAAGATCCACAAAATGACGAATGGTGATTTCCCTTTCCAAATGCCGATGCTCACAAAGAACAACTATGATAATTGGAGTATCAAGATGAAGGCGCTACTAGGAGCTTAAGATGTGTGGGGTATTGTTGAGAAAGGCTTCAAGGATCAAGATGAATCCTCGCTAAGCCGAAGTGTAAGAGAGACATTGAAGGAGTCAAGAAAGAGAGACAAGAAAGCTCTCTTTCTCATTTATCAATCGATGAATGATCGAATGAAGATACGTTTGAGAAGATATCCAACACAACAACGACCAAAGAAGCGTGGGACAAGCTTCAAACTTGCAACAAAGGAGTTGAGCAAGTAAAAAAGATTCGTCTTCAAACTCTTAGAGGTGACTTTGAACGTTTATTTATGGAGGAATCTGAGTCAATTTCAGATTATTTTTCTCGAGTATTGGTTGTAGTCAATCAACTTAAGAGAAATGGTGAAGATGTTGATGATGTAAAAGTCATGGAGAAAATATTTTGCACTTTAAATCCAAGTTTTGACTTCATTGTTACCAACATTGAAGAAAATAAGGATCTAAAGACCATGACTATTGCGCAACTCATGGATTCCTTACAAGCATACGAAGAAAAACAAAAGAGAAAAATTAAACAAAAGGAGGACGAGGTCGTGGCCAATATCGTGGACGTGGACAAGGACATGGAGGAGAAGGAAGAGGCGGTTGCAACAACTACTCCAACAACTTCAACAATGGAGAAAGAAGTTGAAATCCACAAGCAACAAGAGGTCGTAGAAGAGGAACCTCATGGTCGAGGAGCAATAAATCACAAGTCAAATGTTTCAACTGCAATAAGATTGGTCATTACACAACCGGGTGTAGAATCTCGAAGAAGGTTGAAGAGAAAGCTAATTTTGTAGAAGAAAAAGGTGGAGAAGAAGAAACTTTGCTACTCACGTGTCAAAACGAAGTTGAAGAGAAAAGAAATAAGTGGTACTTGAACACTGGCGCAAGCAACCACATGTGTGGCGATCGAAGCATGTTCATAGAGATCAATGAAGCGACAACTAGTGATGTATCATTTGGAGATGACTCAAAGATACCGGTCAAAGGCAAAGGTAAAATTCTCATACGCTTGAAGAATGGGAGTCATCAATTCATATCCAATGTCTATTATGTGCCTAACATGAAGAATAATATTTTGAGTTTGGGACAATTATTAGAGAAAGACTATGACATCCACTTAAAAGAACATAGTCTTTTCTTAAGAGATTGTAGTCATAACTTGATTGTTAAGGTGTCTATGTAAAAAAATAGAATGTTCCTCTTAAACATTCAAAATGACGTAGCAAAGTGTCTCAAGGCTTGCTATACCGATTCTTCATGGCTATGACATCTACGATTCGGGCACCTCAACTTCGATGATTTAGAACATTTGTCGAAGAAAGAGATGGTGAGAGGCTTGCCTAAGATCAACCACCCAGACCAACTCTGTGAAGGATGTCTAATTGGGAAGCAATTCCGAAAAAGTTTTCCAAAGGAATCAACGTCAAGAGCGACAAAGCCACTAGAGCTCATACACACGGATGTCTGTGGACCAGTCAAACCCAACTCGTTTGGTAAGAATAAACACTTTCTCCTCTTTATTGATGATTATTCCAGAAAAATATGGGTTTATTTATTGAAGGAGAAGTCAGAAGTATTTGACAACTTTAAGAAGTTCAAAGCCCTTGTGGAGAAAGAAAGTGGTCTTTCCATCAAGGCCATGAGATCTGACGGAGGAGGAGAGTTCACTTCAAATGAGTTTAACAAATATTGTGAAGACCATGAAATCTGTCGCCCACTGACTGTGCCAAGATCGCCTCAACAAAATGGAATAACAAAGAGAAATAATCAGACTATACTTAACATGGTACGAAGCATGCTCAAGAGCAAGAAGATGCCGAAGGAGTTTTAGGCCGAAGTAGTGGCATGTGCAGTTTACTTGACAAATCGTTCTCCAACAAGAAGCGTGCATGAAAAGACACCCCAAGAAGCATGGAGTGAAAGGAAACCCGGGATCTCTCACCTCAATGTATTTGGAAGCATTGCCTATACCCATGTTCCAGATGAAAGAAGAACAAAGCTCGATGATAAAAGTGAGAAGTATGTGTTTGTGGGTTATGACTCAAGCTCTAAAGAGTACAAGCTTTATAACCCAAATAATGAAAAGATCATCATAAGTCGTGATGTGGAGTTTGACGAAAAAGATTATTGGGATTGGAGTGCTCAAGAAGACAAGTATGATTTTCTTCCTTACTTTGAAGAAGAAGAAGAAGAAGAAATGGAACAACCAATGATAGAGGAACATATTACACCACCTTCCTCACCGACACCAAGGTTGGATGAAACAAGTTCAAGTGAGAAGACACCATGACTAAGCAGCATTGAAGAGCTTTATGAGGTAACCGAAAACCAAAACGACATTAACCTCTTTTGTCTTTTTGGTGATTGTGAGCCTCTAAGCTATCAAGAAGCGGTAGAAAACATAAAGTGGAGAGACGCCATGAACGAAGAAATCAAGTCTATCACGAAGAATGATACATGGGAACTTACTACACTTCCACAAGGACATAAAACAATTGGAGTAAGATGGGTGTACAAGGCAAAGAAGAATGCAAAAGGAGATGTGGAGAGATACAAAGCAAGATTGGTGGCGAAAGGCTATAGTCAAAGACAAGGAGTTGACTATGATGAGGTATTTGCTCCTATTTCTCGTCTTGAAACTATCAGACTGATCATTTCCTTGGCAGCCCAAAATGAATGAAAGATCTATCAAATGGATGTGAAATCAGCCTTCTTGAATGGTTTTCTCAAAGAAGAAGTTTATATCGAGCAACCACTAGGCTATGAAGTAAAAGGGCAAGAAGAAAAAGTCTTGAAGTTGAAGAAGGCATTGTACGGTCTCAAGCAAGCACTGAGAGCTTGGAATGTTCAAATCGACAAGTACTTTCAAGACAAGAACTTCATCAAGTTCCCATATATGCATATATCAAAGTGCAAAGTGGAGATATTTTAATTGTGTGCTTGCATGTATATGACTTGATTTTCACAGGGAACAATCCAAGCATGTTCGAAGAGTTCAAGAAAGACATGTCAAATGAATTTGAGATGACAGATATGGGGTTCATGGCATATTATCTTGACATCGAAGTAAAGCAAGAAGACAAGGGAATTTTCATCACCCAAGAAGGCTATGCCAAAGAAGTCATTAAGAAGTTCAAGATGAATGGTGCCAATCCAGTTGGCACCCCGATGGAATGTGGTAGCAAGTTAAGCAAGCATGAAAACGGAGAGAATATGGATCCAACTCTTTACAAAAGTTTGGTTGGAAGTCTACGTTACTTAACAAGTACAAGGCCTGATATTCTCTATGTTGTAGGAGTTGTAAGCCGATACATGAAAGCTCCAACAATAACTCACTTCAAGGCGGCAAAGAGAATCCTTAGATACATTAAAGGTACAACTAACTTTGGCTTGCACTATTACTCTTCTAATAATTATGAGATTGTTGGCTATAGTGATAGTGATTGGAGTGGAGACTTGGATGATAGGAAGAACACTATTGATTATGTGTTCTTTATGGGAGATACTGCTTTCACTTGGATGTCAAAGAAGCAACCAATAGTCACACTATCAACTTGTGAAATCGAGTATGTCGCTGTCACATCATGCGTTTGTCATACAATTTGACTAAGAAACTTGTTGAAAGGGTTAAAAATGCCACAAGAAGATCCAATGGAAATATGTGTTGATAATAAATCAGTAATTACTTTGGCAAAGAATTCAGTCTTTCATGAAAGAAGTAAGCACATCAACACCCGTTACCACTTCATAAGAGAATGCATTGAGAAAAAAGAGGTAAAGTTGAAGTATGTAATGTCTCAAGATCAAGCTGTTGTATTTTCACCAAACCATTAAAATTGGAAACTTTTGTGAAGCTAAGGAGTATGCTTGGAGTCACAAATCAAGTTTAAGGAGGATGTTGAAAATACTAAACTTGATTTGGACCGAAATTTATTAATTGATTTTTGGGCTTAATTATTTTGGGCTTAAGTAGTTTTCTAGAGAATTCTTGTAATATTTGAAATCTCTAGATATTTCTAGATATTTCTTATAATGGTAATATTTTCTAGAATAGTTTTTGGATCTCTAGAGTTGAGAACTCTCTAGAATTAGTGTATCTAGAATTCTCCTTAGAGTATTATAAATAGAGATGTAATCCCACACATTTGTATCAAGCAAAAACATAAAGTTCTTCTCCTCTATAAAGAATTATCCTACTTATTAAATTTATATTCAAAATTTATATTCAAACCTTCAATATTCTCACACACTTCACCTTAATATAAAAGTTTTTATTTCCAACACCTATACCATAAAACATTCTCACTTTTCTCTTATGTAAATTCTTACACCAGAATAATTCTTCAGAACCCTGTTACAATCACACCACTCTCTGCACAATCTAGACAGCTGGATTGCCACTTTGCATATGCCACGAACTCAATGTTCGACGGCACCGCCTCCGACATCTCTGTGTCACCACACCCTTTTCATAGAAGGGCTTTTTCTTTGGAACTCAACAGCAACCTGCAACACAATAAAACCATGACTTTTTCCTGCTTCTGTAGAACCGACACTTTTCATATACTCCTAAACCTGTAACAACAAATCCAGGTTGAAAAACTACCAAATCTAAACCATACCATATCATCACCATCAACCTAACCTCAAACGTTTTGATCCCATAGCAGACCGAAACCAATTTTCTAACTAAACCTCTAACCAAGAATCATATCATTATTATTAACGCACCTATACCATAACCTTCCTCTTTCTCGTATAAATCCAACCTGCAAATAACATAAACAAAAATTGCACAACACATGTATGTCATATCATAGCACAGCAACATGGGAAAAGAGGAGGGCATCAGAAAAAAGTTGCATCGCAGCATATCACAAACCGGGAGCGGACCCACTGCAAAACCAACGACGACAACCGCAACAACCATGCGCCGCCGCAACCACTCCGACGCCAGTACAGATGCTGCCACAAGGCTCCGGGGATTGTTCCAGACGACTAGCCTTCCAACCGTGTCGCTCGAAGCCACACGTCATCATCACTTGAATTGTAACAGCCCGAATCCCTCCGATTCCATACAACCTCCGAAGATATATCTCACCGTGAGCCTCAATCCTGCCATCCACGCGACGAACGCAATCGGACACCCACACATCGTCGTTCACCGCCGATCCACTGAAAATTCGACGGATCCGGACCTCCAACTCCGCCCGCTCACATCTGGCTGCAACATCCAGATTGGTTCAAATTTTTGTCTCTAATATTGTTGTTGTAATGAAAATAGACATGAAAGAAGAAGAGTATTGAGAATGGGAAAAAGGACTGTACTTTTCATTGGAACAATCTGAACGTGTGGCTGGTGTTGTTATTTCATTGCTATTTTGTTGTGAGACACGTGGCGAGTGGCTGGGAGTGGTTTGAAAGTCAAAAATCTAAAAGTTTGGGATGATCCACCGCCCATATTTAATTTTATTTTTATTTTTCTTAGTTGTAATTTAAATTAGGTTTTGTTTGAATTTATGATTTGGGCTATTGGACTTTTCTTACCCATCTATCTGTTTACACACCCCATTCTTTTATTTAAACCATTTTGTTTATTTAGTTAATCATTTTTTTATTATTTATTTTATTTAATTTAGTGATTCAAGTTAATTTAGTTTTAGTTTAGTTTTATTATATAAAAAAATACAAGAGAAATAGGTTATTTATTCTCATTTAGTTTATGTCCTTTTAACAAAAATACAAAATATAAAAAATGTCTTTTATTCTTTTAATATGTTATTTATTTTGTTAAAGTACATAATTTTAGGCCTTCCGATTAATCTATCATTATCTTTGGTAAAGAAAGCTCTATGCTTCTCAATCCACATGTACACAAAATCAAACACTTTTTTTAAACTAAGTTAATTCAAACATGTTACAAATAATAATATGATTGAATTTTACATCCACTACATCATTCTTGAATAATCGATTGATTGACTTAAAGTCTTACTAATTAATTATTCAAATCGAAAATATTTAAAAATTTACAAACAAATCAAATCAATGATTGTCAAAATTGCTTTCAAATCAAAATTACAAACTACGTCTACAGTCACTCATTTTTCAAACTCAAACAAAGTTTAAAGATAATTAAAAAGTAAGAGGATACGTAGACACGCGGTTCAAAAACCAAAGCATATATATATATATATATATATATATATATATATATATATATATATATATATATATATATATATATATATATATATATATATATATATATATATATATATATATATATATATATATATATATATATATATATATATATATATATATATATGGTAATAGCGTAATTTAAGTATAAAATTCCCATTAAGTCCTAAACCTAAAGAGGAACCCTTGAGAATAAGGGAGATAAAGTGTGCCTAACAGCTTCCCTTTATCTAACCAACTTGCGAACCTAGAAATCTCTACACAATTAGGGTTATCCGCTGTTTTCCCGTTCTTAGGACAAAAAATAGTGGTGGCGACTCTCGTATTTTCATTCATGGAGGTTGGCTTCCTTGGCTGCCGCGGAGAAGATACATTCGTATCTCTATTGCGTTTTGCAAATGCGTGAGGAGAGAAAGAAGACTCGAAGGAATCCTAACGGTCATAGTGAAACGCCGAGTTTGATTCTTTTCCCCTATATTCTACTATTTTATTTTTTTCTCAATTTTGTTTATCATTGTAATTTTGTTAAGAATCTGGATCGTTGAATTCATTTGGGCCTCAGAACCATGGGCCGATGCGTCTGGAAGCACTATACACCATTGCCATGATCCACACACCACCTGGTTCTCTTGTAAAATTCATTTAATTTATTAACTTTTAGCAATTAATTTTTTGATGATATGTTCATGGTTTTTTGCTGAGTTTTTGTGTGAATATTAACATGTTGATTCTTGACTTTGTCATATTTTTTCTTGATAACATAAGAATTAATTGATTTGATATGTGGTTAGAATTAGGTTTTTGATGTGTTCTTGTTGATTCCTTACCCTTGATTCAATTTCCTTGTCATGATGAGTGTATTAATGACAGGTTCTGATCTTAAATTGGTTGATTGAGTATATGCTTTTGGTTTTTCATAAAAAGTCTCATAAGCTTTAAAAATAGGCTTTATGTTCATTGAATGTTCATGTGATTTTCTAGCTTTGTGATAGAATGTAGATGCGACTTTTGTGATATAAAATGCTTGAGGATTGGTTTGTTTGATCACTTGTGTGAAGCCTCTGTAGATTTTTCTTATCACTTACATGGATTTGAAGAGGAAACAAACTTTCTCCGTTAGGTACCAGTTGAATCTCTTTTACTTCTTTCTCATGCATATACATCTGAAGTCCTAGAGGTATACAGGCGGTGGCGTTAGATGAAAAGGTGTTTGGTAGGCTTGTAAGCCATCTTTGTTTTGTTGTTTACATTCTTATTCTCACCTTTGTATGTTCCCTATAAGACTTTATTGCTTTCCCTTATTTATTGTTGATCGATGTGTCGCTCAATTAGAATTGAGATAACGACTTCCCTCTCCGTGCATGTTCTCTATAGGACTTTATTGTTTTCCTCTCTTTATTGTTGATAAATGTGTCACTAAATTAGAGTTGAGATCACAACTTTGCTCTCAGTGCACACTCCTTATAGGATTTTATTTCTTTCCTTTATTTATTGTTGATCGATGAGTCACTCAATTAGAATTGAGATCACGACTTTGCTTTCATTGCATGTTTCCTATAGGATTGTTATCCTCACCCTTAGGTCTATATTTTTATGCTAACACTAGATAAATTCTTCCTTTTTTAATCCAAACTTTAGGACCACCATTTTATGATAACATTAAGAATATAATCTCCCTTAGATGTTTCATTCACCTTTCGCATCCTTAAAACTAAAACTTTTTCTAAATAAAATGCCAAAAATACTTAATAATAAAGAGGTGAACCATGTGTCACGAGCCTTAAGTATTGGGAGAAGTATGAGGGGGTGCATTCCCTAACCTTGTGTTTTCTTTCAATCACGGTCTTTAATATGGTTCAAATAACCAAATCTTTTCTCAAGGTAAAAAAGACTAAACCAATTCAAGCCTTTTTGCCTCCGAGCTTCCTCCGGGTCTTTCTTTTAAGAGAACCTTTTCAGGTAAGAACATGTTAATTTCTTTCTATGAAAATTGTGTAAGTCTTCAAAGGTAGAGTGACAATAGAATGTAAAATTAAAATCGTTCATTAAAAACACAAAATAAACAAAAACTTTTGAGCCGAACTACGACACTATGATTCCTTAAAAGGGATACATAGGCTTTAGGTTGCAGGGCCTAAGCGAGCACAACTATTTAAAACCTGTTTTCCCTATATTTTTCTTTTGCGTTTATACATTCCTTTAGCTCGTAAGTTTAGATACACACACCTTTTGATTATAACAACAAGAGTGGATCCCGTCGAGTACCATAGACGTGAGGGTTACTAATACCTTCCCCTTGTGTAATTGACTCACGTGCCTTTCTCTTGGTTACAAGAATTTGTTTTCTCTCAGGTTTACTTGATGTTTTCCTTTCCCTTCGGTGGGATAAATAACATTCGATGGCGACTTTATTGTTTATTTTCCTATTTGCTTCAGCTGGTGACTTCACTGGGAAATACATAAGCGAATCAGTCCTAGCTCTTATTTGTTTATATTCATTGAGTGATTATCTTTATGATTTTCTTATCAACTTTATTTACTTTGTGTATATATGCTTTATGTATTTGCAGTACATGTCTACATTTGGATTAATTGTTCCTATATTTGGGTATATGATGTACTATTGTTTTCTTGGCGAGTGAGATGTTACTATGAGGTAAAAGGCCCAATACCCATGCTGGTATTCACCTGGAATTAAAGCAGATCGTTATGTTGACTCCATTGGCGCCTGGAACGTGAGGGTTGGCATAACATACCGAGACCAGACGAGGACTTCTCGGGATGCCTGTGTCATGCATGCCTATGCTCAAGACCAAGTATTCTCATAGAGGGCTATCGACTTTGGTAACCATTAGGAACCCCTGTTCTAATTAGAATTTACCTGTGAGATGGGGTGAAAATTATTTTTATAGGTGCAGATGATGATCTTTGTGAGACTTGGTTACTTTGTGTTTTGAATTGGTCGTGAACCTTTGACCTTATAGTATTCAGATTATTCATAAATAGCATCGAACGTTTGAACCTGCTCTGTTTAAACTTGGTTCAGAATATAGCACAATAATTATCCAACATTGATACACCATTGATCCAATATACTTTGCATGCATGACATTTTAACAACATTCTTAACATGCATGTTCTATTATTTCTCGGGAATCATATCTTTGAGCCTTCTGTTGAAGCTTTTCCATCTCTTACTTGCTTAAAATATTAATCAAAGCATATAGATTCTTTGGAAATGACTGAACACAACATTAAATCCACTCATGTACCTTATGCATTCATAACAGCTACTCAGAGTCAGGGATTCTTATTCATACTTGATTCTCTCTTCAAAGCTATAAACCTTAATTCTCACCACTTCGTGCTCAGAGATCATTTATGGAACAACTTCGTGAGGATTTGGCTGAGATGAAGGTTCAGATGGGGTTGTTTAAGGTATACGTGCAAATTATGGACAGTGGTCAGGTTCTCTTAAAGGAGGAAACCAACTAGTTGAAGACTCGGTTAAGTCTGGTTATAGAAATACTAAAGACAGTGCTGAGAAAGGAAAATGATCCTACACTTATTGTTGCAACAAAAGTTTTTATTCCTCCCCATCATGTGGAACCTCTCTTGTATCTCTTCAACAATATTGGGTTCCTGGGTCTTCTCGTCAACAGCATGTGCCTGTTCCCCAAATGAATTCAAGGGGCAAGGCCTATCAGTAGAGATCAAAGAAGCATGAAAAGGAAGTTGATCCAATTCTAATGCCTTATGGCTAGTTATTTCCCCATTTGTTGGAATTTCAGCTGATTAAGTTCCACAATTTGGGTCCTCTCCCCCATAAACTTCACCCTTGATTTTGATGCTAATACTAGGTGTGTCTTCCATTCTAGGGCACCTGGTCATGATATCGAGGAATGAAACGGGTTGAAGTTCAAAGTCCATCACCATTATGGCCTCTTTTCTAAAGTTCAACTCATGTTGGTAGACCGTTTTAGATTCTGTGTAGTAGAAGAAGGATTGTGTCTCTTCTGTCTAGTAGAAGATAGGATAATGCTTATATGATGAAGAA